ATGTGCTCCATTAGGGCTGGAAAGGATTGCGTGGGTCATGAACTAGCTCTCTGCAGTCACAAGCAGACGTTTAATAGATGCTGTGGGACCCTTCCCAATTTGGTATCTGTTCTGTGTGTCACCCCAGTCCACCAAGCACTTCCTAATACTCTATAATTAACATAACCTTACAAGAAGAGACCAAAATCCACAACTAGTGTACTGCAGGAGATGAGCTAGAGAGTAGGACAGCATTGCTACAGCTCCTGATTTCAAGGACCCAATTGAGTAAAAGTTCCCTGTGGTGCCTGGAAAGGGAACCATGCTACCGGGGACATCAGAGAAATGCAACAAGTAATCCCAGTGGTCCCTGATGTGATCTTAGGGAAAACCCTGCCAGATCCCAAAACTAGAGACTATTTTATCCAAAAGCATGCGATGAGGACACCCCAGCCAGGCTCCTGTGGATGCAAAGCTATCGACAGACCTTGCCAAGCCTGTTCACATCCAGATCCTACAGGAAGGGGGTTGTGGCAGTAATGTCTGTAGATAGAACCTCTGGGCTCCTCTCCTTGGTGGGAGGTGGGACGTGACTGCTACAGTATGTCCTTGCTGCTGGCTGTAGCATTTGTTGTGGGCCAAGGGCATTGCTCTGCTGGGGAGGACTGTCCTCATGGTGAGCAGCGTCTTGGCTCAGGGTGAGCAGCCTGCAGCGGTGGCAGGAGTCTGTGCCTTTCTTCCTTCCACACTGGAGCCCAGCACGTGCCTTTCCTGGTAGGTCTTGCTTCTTGCACAGCCCTTCTCCCTTTACCTGCTCCCAAGGGGACTGGCAGCGTCAGTATTTCTTTAGGGCTGGAATCACTTTATCTGGCATAAGTCACTTTTGCTAGGTCTAGAGTCCTTGGGAGGATGGGAGGTCCTCGCTGCTGCTGTATTGGGAGCCTAGTGAGCAGCTCAGTGTAGACATCCCTCTGCAGTGCCAGGCTCCCTGGGGATGGTTGGACTGCTCTGAGCGAGTGGGTTTTGGCATATCCACATGCACGAGGCTTATGGATTCTTCCTAGCCCAGGACAGGCCTTACCAGCTGAGGCAGAGGTGCCTGTACTGCCCTGTCTGCCACAGCAAACCTGAGGCTGAAAGCATCAGCTGTGTCGTGCCCGGTACCTTCTCATGGTGGTTAACTGTAGCACTGTCCATCAGTTTTCTCTCTAATACCCATCTGAAGTCATAATTCACTGGCTGATCAGAGATACCCAAGAGGGATTGTGGGATAATCTGCATAATAATATTGGGGAATTAGTCAACTCCTGAAGAATATCTGAGCAGCTGGCTATAGGCCATGAGTGAATATAAATTAAATATGTAATGTAATTAATATCTTTCAAATAAATGTGAGGGGTAGGGCTCCAAACACCCATCTGTTGAGTTTCTTCCCCTGTGCACCACCTCTCTCCTTCTGGGAAAATAGGCTGGAGTTTTTCCCCAGCTCCCCTCTGCATCTTCCCCTCCCAGCAGAATAAAGCTGTACTTTGTCCTTAAACACTGGTTATTTGTGTGCTTGGCTCAGAGGAGGAAACCTGCAAGGGGAGCTGCAACTACTTCTGTGCGGGAATAACATCTCTGAGCTCCCTTCTTGCACTGTGGTGTGCAGATATCTCCCTCTCAGCTGTCTGTGTGTGGTGTGGGTTGGTTTGCACAGCTTTCCCAGGGAGCAGCTCTAGCACAAAGCCTGGGGGAGTGCAGCTCAGTAGGTCGCAGCCAGTTTGCTCGAACCTGGAGCTGAGTTCCTCTCACTGCAGCACGTGGAAAGTCATGAACGATGGCAGAGAGGCCGGGGCTCCCTGCCTGCATGCTTGGAAAGTCCTGCATCGGTTTCATGTGGCTAACGTGGGAAAGATCCGCTTGGCAACCATGGAGGTTCGGAGGCTGCTGTGTCCTGTCTATATTTAAACAAGTTCTGGAGGAGGGGAAGGCGCTTGCTTGAGAAAGCATCCTGTTGCCGGGAGTGCACTGCGGCTGAATCACCATCAGCGTTTGCTTTGGGTCATGGCGAGGTGTGCACGGACAATGTAGATCTGGGAAATGGGCTGAGCGGAGGCAAGGAGCCCTGTCATGTCTCTCATCTTCCTGCAGATGGGATGTGTTATGCAGGGCAGAGCTAGGGATGGGACTCAAATCTCAGAATTTCTGTGTTGGCATTCATCTGTAGCATCATGTCATCTTCCTCAAGTCATCCTCCATTTGCCTCTGCAGTCCTGGCCTTCTCAGGGAAGAAACAATTGTCGTCTTCACCCTTGGGAGAAGCGGTTGCTGGTAGGAGCCAGGCAGTTAGGAGTTGGCAAAGGAAGGAATCGGAGCCTAGGTTGTCCCTTCAAGTGCATGTGTCAGCACCATGCATCCCCTGGGTTACCGTGCATCCAGGCCGGTTGCAGCCCGGCACGGTACTTCGCAGTCATGCTTTGGTCTTGGTCTTTCTGGGCACCTGCAGACTTCCCCAGAGCCTAACCACTATCAATTCCAGTTATTAGTGCATTTTTCACACCTCTGATTAACATCAGTCACATGTACGTATGCAGTGCTGGTTTGGGAGAAGGGGGTTTAAGCAGGGGACATGCATCATTCATTTGGAGGGATGCTTCCTGAGGCTGGGAGTTTCTGTTCCCACTGCGTAGGGGAGTTTAACCTCTGTGTTTCTGATTTTTCATCCTCCTTAACATAGGGTGTTTATTGACCAAGGGGAAAATCTGCTTGTCCAGCTGTAGAAGGTATTCAGACTGGCATCAGGGAATGCCCCTCATGAACCATTCTTGTTTCCATCACAAGGGATTGTGGGGAAAGGAAAAACCTTCTTCACTTAGACCTGAGTTGGTCGTTATTTCTTACCAGCCTCAAAGAGAAAGCTGCAGGAGTCCTTGCTGAGGTTTGCTGCCCCACTAAGGCAAGCTGAATGCAACCCTTGGGTTGGAGGAACATGCAGTGTCCCCTGCTGTCCCTCTGTCCCACTGCAGTTATGCAGGTATTGCGTGCGAGCAGTGCCCTGGCCCACAGCTGCCTTCTGCGGGACCAAGGTGACACGTGTGCCTCTTTGCAGAGCCCAGAGGTGACAGCCCTGCCCACCTGGGCAACACAGTACACTGGATCTGAGCTCTGTGCTGAGAGCAGGATGTCCTTGTGATCATCTTTCTCCACCACTTCTGATAGCTCTCCAAAGCCCACCAGAGAAAAGGGAAGGGTCCATAGCATCTGCCTGGATGCTTCTGCAAGAGGCACTTGCCACCCTAGAGCACTGGATGGTAAATGCATCCGGGATACGCTCTGATCCTCATTCTGGGACTCTGTGGGAGGACGTACGTGTGAGCCAGGACTTACGTTCCTGTCTCCAGCTGCTGAGGGCTACTTTCTCCTTGTTTTTTTTCTCACCATCGGATGTCTCGAGTTGTGGGGCATGAAACAGGAGGGTGATTTTCAGAGCTGATGGGGACTCTTTTCCCCACTTTCCAGGATCAGTAGATCAGGGATTAGTGTGCATGAGGCAGAGGAAAGACTGGCTGGAACTGTCTGATGCCCTGAAATGGTTTTATTGTCCATCTGTGTGCTGAGGTCCAAGGAGAGAGTGTGAGTGCAACTGCTGTGTTGCTTTCACTTATCCAAAGTAAAGGAGCCCTGCTCCTTCCCCCGGGCCGGGGAGAGCAGTTTCTGGTGCAGATCTGTATGGAGCCTACTGATCTACAGGCTGGGGATCTGCCTGGGTGGCTGAGCTGGAAGGTGATTTATTCCTAATTGCAAAGGGCCTGGGAAGTTTGGTGTCCTCGGCAGCTGTGGCCAAGACTGAACCTTGCTGCGCCGTCTCCTCGCTGCACGGGCAGCACAGAAAGGCAGCAGCAGCTGGGGGAGACAGCAAGGGACGAAAAGTGGAGGAGAGGCACTGTGCACGCCCTGTTTTTGCAAAACCTATGGGATACAGCTGGATAAGCAATAGGGCTGACACAGGCTGGAGAAGGATGTGGGGAGTGGGAAAACAGAGGAAAAGGAGAATGGACTTCAGCTTTGTGTCTGCGTGTGCCAAAGGCCAAGTGACTGGCACTGACTTGCAGGGCTTCTTTCTGTGTGGTAGCAGCTTGCTGCAAGGGCAGGGCTGCTGACGTGGCTCGGGAAGCACAATTTGTCAGCTGTGAGAGGCAGGAGAAGGTGGGATGCTCAGGGAGACCCCATCCCTGACCCAAAACCCAAGCTTGTGCCCAGGGCTGCAAGGACTGCTGTCAGGCAGCCCAAGCCGGTTCGCTCTGCAGCAGTGCTGTGTGCAGAGGCTCTCCAGCTGGGCTGGGGCTGACTCACAGCACAGTGGTCACAGCCAAGTCAGGTCAGCCTGGCCTGGAGGGGAAGAGATGGTCTCTGGGGACAGGAGTGCCGTCAAATCTTCCAGCTTCTCAGGCAAACAGCCTTGCCCTCTGCCTGCTGGGGTGACCTCCTCTGCCAGGCATGCCTTCCCCTCCCTGTTCCCTCTCACCACCACTGTCTTCAGCTCTGCATCTGAGGGTTGCCAGCCAGGTATGGAGCAGATGGTTGAGCCGGTGGGGAGGTGGGAGCATGGAAAGAGCCATGGGCAGGCTGTGAGAAGGCAGCTTTGCAAAGCAGAGCGCTCAGCAGAGAGTATTTGTGGTAACCGAGGCCAGGAGTGGCTCAGATGGGCATCTGCAGCAAGCATGATTCGCAGGAGGTGAAGCAGCTCAGTTTGGCACCAGGAGCACTCCCTTCTCCTTAAACAGTGGATGCCACAGGGCAGGAGTGGGGCTGGCGTGCAGGGCTCCTGCAGGCAGCAGAGCACTCCTCCACCGGCCTGACCTTGGCTCTCGCTGGCCGGGGCAGACGTGCTGGCTGCCAGTTCGTGATGCAGTTACACCACTGTGTTGCACAGTGGCCAAGGACTTGTATGACTAAGGAGAAGGGACTGAAGCAGGCTTTGGGATTTGTCCCCCAAGCTGTGCTCTGATTTGTGTTGTGATGGCAGGGTCCGGCGTGACCCTCGGCCATGCAGCTGGTGCCTGCTGCAGTGCCAGCAGAGAGCCGATGCTGGCCACTGGCACTCAGCCTGCTCTACGTGGTGTGCGGGGTGCTGGCTTTTGTGCCAGCAGTGCTTGTGGGGATCTTGCACTGGCAGCCAGAGCCACGTGGCTCTTCAGCCGCTGGTTCCACAGTGCCCTTAGCCTTACTGTGCCAAGAGGCACCAGGATATGCTTGTGGCTGCTCCTCTCAGCCCTGGCAGCTGTGGCAGAGATCCCTGATAAAGTCCCAGAGCTCTCCTTCTGGTGTCTTTTCATCCTGGACTTTATTTAGAGTATGAAAACAACCTGGCTCTCCCTTCCTGCCCGTGCAGTGGTGGAGTTTCTGGGCTCGACCAGGGCTGGGGGAACCAAGGCACTGAGGCTGCCTCCCAGGGAGGAGGCTCAACCCTGGTGCCACACACAGCTCTGCTCCCTGGGGAGCTGCTGGGCAGGCTGGAGCTGGCCATGGGGGCCCTGGGGGTGCGGCTGAACCCAGGCAGCAGCCAACTGCTACAGCTTGTGCCCAGAATAGGAGCTGTGGGCAGGCCATAGGGATGGAGGAGAGGGAGGCAGGGAGCAAGCTTGGTGCTGCTTTCACACTGAAGGGCCCCACGGTGATGCCCCTGGAGCACTTTCCCCTCAGTGGCTTTGGGCTGTGCCTTTGAGGGGACCATGAAGTCTTGGCTGGAGGTCCACCAAGCAGTGCCCCATGCACCCAGGAATGGCTGTTACCTGAGGGCATCCTCCCTGCGTGGCTCAGACACCACTTGCCGCTGACTTGCCTCCTTTGCTGTTCCTTTCTCAGTCCTCAGTATGCTCCAAGATTGTCCAGCTGCTGGGCCAGAATGAGGTGGACTACCGCCAGAAGCAGGTGGTGATTGTGAGCCAAGACAGCTTCTACCGGGTCCTCACCTCAGAGCAGAAATCCAAAGCGCTCAAAGGCCAGTTCAATTTTGACCACCCAGGTGAATGGAGAACAGCACCGGGGTTCTGCTGTGCAGTGAGAGGCGAGGGCTGGAGCGGGACCCTCTGCTCCACCAGCAAAGAGCCTTGCATGGACAGTGGGACTCTGTCTCTGCATGGGGCAGGAGTGGGTGGCTTAGTTAAGCTCTTCTGGAGCTGGGTGCATCCCTGGCAGGGTGGCTGGGGCCCACCTGTTTTCCCTGCAGTACAACCTCTGTCTCTCTTGGGAAAGAAACTGCCTCTGGGGTGGAGTGTTTGGGATGAGAAAGGGCAGGTTGTGAACCCTCAAACTCCTTAAGATGCTCCTCTTCTCCCTGCAAAAACATCCCCCAGTTTGAAAACCTTTCTGGTGCGGCTGGGTCGGGACCAGGGAGATCTGGCCTGGCACAGCCCCCTGGAGCCAGGAGCTCTGTGTCCCTCCTTCAAGGAGGGAACCGTCTTGCGCAGCTGCTCTGCAAACCGCTCCACTGAACGGGCTGTGCCCTGTTGCTACAGCAGGGGCTCTTTGAACCATCTCCGGGCTTGGTGTGGAAATTTCAGAGCCACCGTCCTTTCGTCCCTACGAGGACAATGGCTGGAGGCAGCAAGCACTGAGCAAACAGAGCCCTGTCTGTCCGGCAGCTTGAGGCTGAAACACTGCTCCAGTCTCTCTGAGGGCTGGAGCCCCAGAGGAGATGCCTTCCCAAGCTCAGGCTGTCAGCACTACCATACAAGGACGGTATTGATCTCTGTGGGCCAGATCCCAGGCTGGTGCAAAGCAGTGAAGCCCCAGGGGCTCTGGGAGAGCTGGGCCTTGCTACGCCCATGGGGACGTGCAGGGCTTTCCTCCCAAGTCTGTGTGTCTGTCTGTCCCCAGTGCGGAGTGCCAGTGGCTCTGGCTAGGCTAAGCTCAGCATCTGGTGGGTGGGAGGGGTTGCAAAGCTGCCTCGGGTAACGTTTCCTCTCTCCTCAGATGCCTTTGACAACGAGCTGATCGTGAAAACGCTCAAAGAGATCACGGAAGGGAAGACGGTCCAGATTCCTGTCTATGACTTTGTCTCCCACTCCAGGTCTAACAGCTGCCCCTGCCTTGCTGTGCCTCTGCTAACGCCCTGCGGTGCAGCATGCAGCCTTGCCAGCCCAAACCGCCTGCCTCTCCGCTTGTGCCAACTCTTAGGCACCTAACGTGCCAGCCAAAAGTTTCAATGCTAACTACTCCAAACCCCTTGGTTAGAGGATCCAGGGCAGATACAGGCGCAGTCTGAGGGTCTGGAAAGCTGCGCAGCCATGCAGTTGCATCCAGCAACATCTAGGCATCAGTGGAAGGGGGTTATGGCTCCCCTTTTCTTCCCCAGCCACAATTCCTCTCCCCATAAACTCTGTGTTTGCAGTTTTAACAAGTATTCCAGGCTCAAACAGCCCGGCACTGCCAGGAAAGGAGGAGGATGACAGTTCTTGCTCCTGTAACTCTTCCCTTGCACATGTTCAGCTTGTTTTTGCATGCCTGTGTTGGTCGTGGATGGTGTGACCTTGCTCCATTTCCCACAAAAGCGCTGTGGTGTCAGTGGAGTGCTGCCTGGTTCCCAGGGGAGCAGAACTGGCCCTGGCAGGTTCCCATGGGTCAAGCCCCATGCATAGGCTTTCTAGGCTTTACGGCTTGGCACATAGCACTTGCAAGCAGCAGCTGGCCGAGGTGGGGGGAGAAGGGCTAGTCTGCTTCCTGCTCTGCCGTTTGTCCTTCTAGGAAGCGTACGTATGCCTTGGATTCCCTTCACCGCGGTGGGGTAGGTCTGCCCTCTCCTCAGTCATGCCCCTGGTGCAGCAGTGATGTCCCAGGGTTGGAGCAGTGCCTAGGAGCACCGCTGTTTCCCCCCACCTCTCTTAGCTTGTTTTCCCCCACCAGCATATTTTGACTCTCCTTCCCTCTGCTAGGAAAGAGGAGACGGTGACTGTCTACCCTGCCGACGTGGTGCTCTTCGAAGGCATTCTGGCCTTCTACAGCCAGGAGGTGCGGGATCTCTTCCGCATGAAGCTCTTCGTGGACACGGATGCGGACACTCGGCTGTCCCGCAGAGGTGAGGCCCGAACATGCCTTGTGCAGCAGGGACAGAAATGTCACTTAACTGATTTGGGCAGCTGGTCTCAGAGGCAGGTGACAGTGACCAGAGCAGAACTGGAACTGGCACAAAGCTGCGCTGCTGCTAGCAAAGAGCCAGGGAGCTTTTCCTCCCCAGTGCAGCATGTCACATAGGGCAGCTTATGGCAGCGGGGAGCACCTTGCTCCGTGTCTCTTAGGATTCAGTGAGGTTTTTGCTGCTTTGTCTGGGATTCCTCCTTTGCATTCAGCAGTGTGACTACTGAGTGTGCTGTGTCCTCACATGGCCCTGTGGCACCAGCCCTGTGCCATCAGCTGAATGACAGCTATTGCCGATCAGCAGGGAAGGGTGCAATGGGCACGGCAAAGCGGCTCAACAGCTCAATCAGAAGGCAGTGCTTGATGGATCTGCTCAGGACCTGGGGTATGGGTGTGCTCCGAGGATGGCATTTAGGTGTGAGGGTGTCCATCGTGGATGATACAGGTAGGGAGTTTGGTTTTACATCTTGGTTTGTACAAGCACAGCCAGTGCAACGTGGAGCCTCTTTGTGGTACTTGGCACTGGGGTGATGGGTTTTGGGGGCAAAGAGCCCTAGAAACCAGAATATCCCTCTCTAGGACTCCCCATGTTCAGCTGGCTTGGCTATAGGTTGCCAGCTGACATAGGAGGGACTCCAGCTCTGCAGGGTGTGCGTGGTTTGAGATGCAGTTCATTTCAAAGCAGCCTTTAGGAGTGGGGTCCCTCATGTAGCACCTGAGTCTCCTGGATGACTAAGAAAGAATCTGGGGACTCCTGGGGCAGAATTCAGTTCTGTCTGAACTGTTCCTACCCCTGCCTGGCTCTGACAGCCTCCACAGGGTGTCTGGGGATGCAGAAGGTGACTTAGAGGAGAGGTCCCATTCAGACCTCTGTGCTGTGATGAGAGGAGTGTGTCTCAGTGCGTCAGCCTGGGACTGCTTGTGTGCATGGGACTGTTCCACTCTGTGACAGAACTGGTCTTGCCTGCCCTCCTGCTGTCAGACAGATACACAGCCTCCTCCGCTGTTAGGATGTCATCAGTGCTCTTTTTTACGCATCCTTCTTGACCCTGCCCACTGTTCTTGCATGACTCATCCAGGGAGGTGACAGCACAGTCATTGCAGGGAGACGTATTAGCAGGTCATAGATATGCATTTGCAAGATCCTGCAATCTGAACCTTATCGCTTAAGCAAACTGTGCTGTGCAGGAACTTGGGTTCACACTCAGCCATGGGGTAGCACATGTTTTTGGCAGTGCCCTGTATCAGCTGTCTGAAGGCAAGGCATTGCCTTGTGCATTTGCAGCGCCACATGACTCTGTGTGCATCCCAATCGTACTCTGGAGTGTGTGGTTCAGTCACTTCGGACTTGGTACATAACTCAGGGCTTGAAAACTGGTTGAGATCCCATTGACTGGGAACTGAGACCATACAGCTGCCGACCACAATACAGAGCTAAACCCTGTTGTGCTGCAGCTGTTGGATGGGGTCCTGAGCCTCATGGGCCCAGGCCATTCTTGGGGTATTTCTCCCACCCACCATCAATCACTAAAGCTTTGCAAATGGGCAGCTAGGCTGGTTGAGGTGCTGGTGTCTCCTAGTTAGGGCAACTCATCGGCCTCCTGGTAGGGAACTGACTATTTGTCAGTCTCCTGGCCTGCTGTCAGCAGTTGGTAGGACCACTGCAGCAGCAAATCTGTTTACTGTATGTCTCCCTGGCCTTTCTGGGAAAGGAGAGCCTGCGTGTGAGGTGCTGAAGGTATAATTGTGTCCCTGAAACATAGCTGGAGGTAGCTTGTAGCAAAAGTTGGGGTGTTGCTTTGCGACATGGCTCTGAGTCATCTTGCTCTCCCAGAAGTCCTGAAGAGTTGCAGCAATGGACTTTTCAGCTGGGCAGCAGCAGGAGATGAGGTTCCTGGAAATGTAGCTGACAGCTCAGTTAATCAATAGCGCTGGGGTTCAGTATGTGCAACTCACACTGTCCTCATCTCAGCACCTCTCCCAAGAAAAATGCTGCTAACAGAGCACAAGGGGCAAGGTCTGTCAGGTGCCTCAAACAGCCTGATCTGTGCAAAGCTGATTCTGGCTATGGTCCCTTGCTGCCCTGTTCTTGGCCAGCTTCTGTAAAACAAAGACTAAGTCGGGTGTCACATGCATGTTTTGGGCCCGATTTGAGTCATGTCTGCCTTCTGGCTCTGGACGGGTGCCGATCCATCCTTGGGCATTTGCCTGCCCTGCAAGTAGAGGGTGATACCTCCAGATAGGGTGCATGGTCTTAGCCTGCGTTGCTGGGACCTGTTGCTTTGGGGCCAGGGACAAGACAGTGGGTGCTTGACTCGTGTTTGTCCATGGGGTGATGGCCCTGCTGTGGTCTGTCCTGGGAGCAGGCAGGACAGTTTTGCCCTGTCAGGACCAGCCCCTGCAGCCTGGGCACTCACCCTATGCAGTCTGCAGGCCTCCCGCATGCCATCCCAGGCCGGGTGTGCTGCAAACACACCCTCACTATGCTCCTTCTCCACCCCAGAGCAGCCAACAAACAGGGTGTGGGACCTGGGAAACAAAAGTCTCTCTGTTTTATTTTCCTTGCCTGTTTTTCTGTATTGTTTGAGCTGGGGCTTGCTCCCGCTCTCTGGAGAAGGCAAGGAGCTGGCTAGAGCAGCCTGGGCTGGGCTGAGCCTTTCCTGGAGCAGGCAGGGAGCTGGCACAAATCCTGCTGCCAGCCCTTTCTTCCCCCCATCACCTCCCCTGCGCGGGGCTGTGAAAGGGCATGCTGCAAAGCTGCTGGCCGAGGGCAAACAGAGCCATGGGGACAGTGCCAAACCAGCACTGGGAGAACAGCACTGTCCTGACCCTGCAAGCACATGGGCACTGGCTGCCGAGCAGGTCACGCAGACTGGCAGTGCTGTGGCTCAGCTCTGCTTGGCACGTGGAGAAGGCTCGCTCTGAACGCAGTGCCAGGTGCTAGCGTGCTGGGGAGAAGCCAGCCAGCCCCTTGGGGAGAGCCAAGAGCTGTCTGCTTGGCCACAGCGCTGTTTTGGCTCTTACCCGTGGATTGAATTCCTGCTGAACTGGGGCACTTTTCCACGCTGAAGTGGCTTCAGACCGGAGATGGCAGTGGCCCAAATACCTCGGGCAAACAGGATGTAAGGCCCAAATGGCAGAACAAGCAGGAGACCAGCTTGCTCTCCTGCCTCCTGGCTTCCTCCTGAGCTGATCTCCTCCAAGCACCCCCTCAGCCTCTCGTTGTGGGAGCCTGCTTCACCTTCCCATCCCACTCAGCCAAGGACAGCACAAGGACCCTGGCAGAGCTGGGCAGGTGGGTGAGTTTTACTCTCCTCACCTCTGCAGACCTGAGTTAAACTGCGCCTTAACGTGTGTATGGGTGAACCCCACTGCTTTTTCTATTCCTTGGGCACCTTTGCACTGGGACAAGTGGGAGAATGCCCCATCCTTAGGCCAAGGGCAGGACAGAGTGACAGGAGGGATGGAAGGGCTGAGGCTGGGAACAGTCAGGACTGGGGTGGCACTGGTTACAGCTGGAATGTGCTTGCAGAGCTGAGAAGGGAGGGAGGCCAAGAAAAGCCCTTGGTCAGGTCAGCCAGCCCTTGGCTCCTGGGAAGGCTTGGAAGCAGGTTAAAAGCGTGTAGCTGGGCTGGGGTGTGCTTGGACATGTGGGCAGTAGCTTCCAGAAACAGAGACCTCAGGCAAAATACCCGGGTGGCTGGCCAAAGGCTGTACTGAAGGGAAGGGGGATGGAGCAATTCATGTCTCAGCTCCTGACTGTGCCTTACATCTTCCCCGCAGTGCTACGAGACATCAGTGAGCGAGGCAGGGACCTCGAGCAGATCTTATCTCAGTACATCACCTTCGTCAAGCCTGCCTTTGAGGAGTTCTGTTTGCCAGTAAGTAAGGGGAGTGACACCCATGGGAGTCTGCCAAAAATGGCTCATACCCTGCCCAGCTCCTCAGACAGGAGCATTTTGTGCCCCAGAGCTCAGGTCAGCCTGCCTCACCTTGCTCCCTCCCTGCAGGCACTGGCAAAAATGGGGATGCCAGTGCTGGCCGGGGCAGGGCGAGATGGGGACTATTTATACAGCCACTGCCTTTCTGGTGAGATCACCCTCCCCTGTGGGAAGGCTGACACGGCAGGAGAAATCCCTCCCTGCACAGGGTCTGACAAACCAACACCAGGCAGCTCAGCAGATGCCAGCCCCAGGAGCGATGATCCTTGGCCGGGGGAAGGGGAGATCCCTGCCCCCAGGCAGCATCTGCTGTGTCTGCCTCCTGTTCTGTGCTGTCCTGCCTGCCCTTTTCACCCTGCAGTGCTGCTGGCTTCTTGCTGGCTGGATGCTTGGTAGAGCAGGGGAGCTTCATCCTTCGCTCTGTGCTGCGGGATGTGGCCTTGCAGGTTGCGTTTCCTGGCTGGTGAGAGGCCAAGGTGTAGAGCAGGCAGACCTCGCTCAGGGCCAGGGTTGCAAGGTCTGCCTGGAGCAAGGAAGCTACTTTGGGAGCTGATAACCGAGGCAAGGCTCCCTAGCAGACAGGGACTTTGCATGCGGGAGACCACTGCAGTCCTGCGGAACTTGCAGGTGAAATAGCACATTTGCAGGACTAGCCATCGCACACTTCTCCTGGCTGTCATGGAGAGGAGCCTGTGCCTCGGTTCTCAAGGCTTTTCAAGCAGATATGGTAGTTATATGAGGAATTTCTTCTTATTCTGGAGGAACTGAGCCAGCAGAGTCCTGCAGCCTGGGAGCTGCTGGCCAGCGCCACAGGCAGGAATTGAACCTGTGCCTCCAGCCTCAGGAACATCTCTGTGCCTGTCTATGTGGCCAGCTCTGCCCCTTCCCATAAGAGGGGCTGATTCTCTCTGTGCTACAAGATCTTCTCCTGGCTCCTGGACAGCACCCTTTTCCCTGTCTCCCTCAGTTGTGGCTCTGTGGCCCAAGGTCCAATTACAGTGTAATCCCAAAAGGCTTTTCCTGAGGCAGGTCCAGCTTGGTGGCTCCCCTCCTTGCAAGACCCCAGCAAGGTAAATCTGCAGCTTTGCAAAGCAGCAGATGCTGCATTAGTCTCTTCTGTTGAAGAGTCTGTAGGAGGACAAAATGTGAAACAAGGACGGTAGAAAAAAGCTGCTTTGTCCCTACCCACCAGCTTTGCAGTGGTATGCTCCCTCGTCCAACCTGGTGGTGGGCTCAGCTGCAGAGCAATTGCGTGTGGATGTTGAGCAGGCTCAGCACCCACTGTTGCTGTTACTCAACTCCAAAACCAGTTCTGGTCCAGGTGGTCCAGCACTGAAATGATCCAGCATGTCCTGGTGATTTTTGATATGGTTGGAAGCACCTGGAGGTGTCAGATGACACCCTTCACCCAGCAGGCTGGCTTGTTTACTGATGGTAGAGCTTGGCCGTCAGGAAGCTGATCAGCTGTAAAAGCTGACACAAATAGGGGAGGAAACTGAGACTGGCACCTGCAGGTGAAAATAGGTCAGGACTGGTGTCCTGAATCAGACCTTTTTTGCAAGCAATGCTGGTAGAAAATTCTCCCCACATCCCAAGCAGATCACGTGGCTGTCCCCCTCATGTCCACACAGCCTGGGCATGCCAACTCTTGCTCTTGTACCAAGTCTGGCTGGATTCAGGGGGGAGGTTGTTCCCAAAAGCATCAGCTGCTGGAGTCTTGCGATCATGAGGCTTTTTAATTTCAGGTTTTGTTAGGGTGGCTCTTACTGCCTCTTACTGGAATCTGTATGAGCTCATGAAAATGGAGTCAAGGTGCAAAGCATGGCCCTCAAAACACAGAGCTGAAGACAAATAAGAGCATCCAAAATGTATTCTCAGCAACGACATACCTCCCAGCGGGTTTGGGTTTGGCAAGGGGAGGGCAAGGACCTGCCCCAGGAAGCAGGGACAATGCCCTAGCTTGGTGGCTCTCCACTTTCCCTGTAACACAGTGCTCTCTCTCCTCCCAGACCAAGAAGTATGCTGACGTGATCATTCCCAGAGGAGCAGATAATGAAGGTGAGTGGACCCAGACCCTGCTGTTACGTTCTGGCAGCTGACTTTGGGCTGTTGCTGTTGTGGCGGAGTTAGGTAAGAGGCAGCAGGACCTGCCACGGAGGTGACTCAGGCCACTGCCACCCAAGAGAGTGCTGTTACCACACGTGCTGAGATGAGCTTCTTCCCTTTGCTCCTGCCTGGAGCATTAATGACTAGGCGTTTGTGCTCCTCTGATCAAGCCTGGGAGCCCATCTATGTGCAGTGCCTCCAGGCAAACTCCTGGTTCATCCCACACAAAGGGAAATGTGCTTCTCCAAGGCCAGACGTGCAACTGGGACAGCCATGTCTTCACCTGGCTGGAATCAGCCTGACCATACTGGCTTGAGTGCTGGGCTCAGCCAGGGCAGAGGGATGAAGTCCCAGCAGGGCAGCTCCTCCCTGCAGGGTTGCAGCTCCCCACCACTTGATAAGAGGGGATAGGAGCAGGGGAGACAGCTAGGTCATCATGTCTGGCTTGGCTCTAGTTCATTTGCAGTGATCCTAATGCAATCTCTCCCCTGTGTCTTTCCCTTCCTTTTGCTCACAGTGGCCATAAACCTGATAGTGCAGCACATCCAGGACATTCTTAATGGAGGACTCAGCAAACGCCAGAGCAACGGCTACCTGAATGGCTACACTCCTCCCCGCCAGCGGCAGCCCTCAGAGTCCAGCAGCCGGCCTCACTGACCCCGGGCGAGGCATGAGGGGCTGGGGGTGGAGGGCGCCCGAGCCCTCCCACTGCCCCTCTTT